CGTTGGGGTTGCCAATGGATCTATCGTAGAGATCCATTCCGCTGTCTCTGGTATCTTCGAATTGCTCGATGCACTTTCTCATGCGACGGTCTGCTCCTCCGAGGTCACCAGTATGCCACTAAGGTCTACGCCAAGTTAAGTGCAAAACAGCGGCCGCTGTATCAGTCACTGGTCTCCATGTATATCTCCCGAGGTCACTGGCGGCGCATGTCCTCCAAACCTTCAGCTGCTGCTGCTGAGGTTTTCCTGACCTGCTCGAGTAGAAAGGGTCCTCTTATTTATGATTATAGGCCCTTGAATGGGGCGTTACCGTCGAGTTCCACTCATACTACCTTCATCTCTGTGCTTATGTGCTGTATGAGGCTCCTTCGGCCAGCGGTACTGATCTTTGCAGATTGTCATTCAGCATTCTATATGCTCCGACATTGCTCGCATGAAGGGTGTCTAAATCGCCTTGAAGTGCACACGGGTGATGAGGCGTATTATTCTCCAGATAGGGTCTGTCTCGGGGTCCATGGACCCGAATCATTGGAGTAATCCCTGGGACGCCAGGTTAAGTGCCTACTGGCGGCACCCCCAGGTTCGGGTGGGCGAGGTGGAATCGCAGAATTTGTGGACGACCTGACTATAGTCTTGAGCGACGGGGATCTCTCTGTCTGTTACCTAATTCTCTCTACGTTGATATTCTTTCTTGGTATTTGTGGATTTCTAGTGGCATTTGCCAAGTTCTCAATCGCGGTCGACAACCTTAGCCGAGTACTGAGCACTGGAGTCAAGGGCAAACATCCCTACTACTGTTCCAACTGCTCAACCGTGCTAAGCACCGATTACTCCTATGACAGTGAACCTTTGTCGTTGAAGCTGCGACGTAGCTGCTGGGGTCTGAGCCTCGCATGCCCTCAGGTTGCGGTCGCCCGCCGGTGTCTACGAGTCTGGCGGGTCGCCTTCATGACAAGTCTCGTCGCGGTCCCCGCGCGAGGGTTTTTGTTTCTTTCCCCCAGAGTTGGGATCGGATTGACCTACTTGTTCTTCTTCGTATCGACCAAGGGAGAAATCCGACCGTGACGACTGTCCGAGCCCAGGACCTAGCAGATCCATACTATGACATTGAGGGAGTACTTACCTTCCGCTCTAGTTCTGCCTTCGGAGTAGGTCTCTTCCGTCCACTAATTAGCGGTCTCATCCGAGATGTCCACCGAGGTTATGGGCACTGTAGAGTGGACTACATGTGTGGTAAGGTTAGTCAAGGCTTGCATGCTGAGAGACTCCGATCTGTGGCTGTAGCGGTGCGACAGCATTGTATCTTCTGTGCACTTTTCTGTGCGACGTTCCCTGAGAACCGGGCCATTCCGTGTGGGGGACCTTTTTCGACATTAGTAGTCTCGTGAAACTGTCTGCCTACAGTGTCGTCGGGATCGACTGCGTCTCGTTGGCACCTGAAGTCGAAGCCATTGTTTGCGTTTGTGCTGCAACACGGCATTGTACTTTGTTATTCACGTTGCTTCTGACCTGTTTCTGGATCGATAGTTGAATTCAAAAGGCGGTGTTGTTATCAGGATAAGACCACGCGAAACATGACTTGAAGAGAAAGGCAACAATGTAGGGCAACAATGCAGTCGGATTTCTCGAAGAGATAGTAGAAACGTGATTTCTTTCTCATCTCAAATCCCAGTGCCCCCAACGAAATCGTTCATCTACAGCAGCGTCGACGTTAAACCCCCTGGGGATCATATCACCTGTGTATACAGTGTATATAGCCCCCCTTATCGATTAGTTGCTACAGCTGGTTCTGTTCATCCTAGTCTTGACTGCTTTGCTCTTCCACACCGAGACTTTAGTGTGGTCACCGCGAATAGGAGAATAAGTCTCTGAATGCTTTGTGTGACCCATGCTGCGCTCGCACATTGGTATTTGCTCCTATCTTGGCCTGCCACTACAAAATGATGTTTTATCTCCTCTCATTACCTTCAGTGACCTCTAGTATCGGCTCTGGTGATATCACCCTGTATAGATGGCAAGAGCTGTACGGTGAAACACGTTGACGAGAATATCGGTACTGTGGACATAGAAATCGGTACTGGATCCCGGCAGTGAATGAGGTCCTACCCATATACAGTCAGTCTAGTTCTGTTATCACGCTCAACGTGATCCCAATGCTCAACTTGGGCACTACTGCTAGTACTACTGGTAGAACCCAACCTTCCCCCTGGCAAGGCTGGAATTGCCATATCCTGGCTCTGCTCCGAGCAATATATTGATACTATAGCCAGGACGGTGACTGAAGATGATGCTCCGAGCCTAGATAGTCCAGTAGCGGAATCCAGAGCGTGATCCCCGAAGGATTCAAGCATCGAATTCGCTGCGAGTCAAGCCTACTGTATATGTTTTGCAGATCCCGTTGGAAGGCCACGGGGTCACTAGGTGATTGTATTTTTAGGTCTAAATCATTTCTAGTGACGGTAGATTATACTAGTATTGCGGTTCGCATTATGCGAGGCTAACGGTTAGATAGTCCATTAGAATGGCAACTCACTGGTAGTGAAGTCAATGTCTAAGTTAGTAACTTGAACTTCAAAAAATTCGGGTCTCGCATTCTTTGCGCAGTCGGAGGAAAATTTACTTAGGGAATTCCTCGGTCAGAAGCTACCCATTGGGTAGTACCCGATAGCTGAAAACCCAATAGCGGAAAGAAGAAAAGCACTGCGTTGAGCGAGTATCGACATTACCAATGCACCTCCCACATCTTGCATATTGTTGTGTAACACAACTTGTGTTTGAGTTCGCACAGAAGGAGAAACTTCTGTGCCCCTACTCGCCGGGTCGTATGCGGGAGGTCAG